AAGGGGCTGACACAACCTTCGCTGTGGGGTTATGCTTGGCGCGGATCCGGGCAAGGGGTCGAGGTACTGGCAGTGCAACTACTGCAAGTGGAGCTTCATCGTCACAGCGTCAAAACAGAAGGAACATTTTGAGAAGAAGTGCAGCATATACTTGGTGACAAGACCACTGTCAGCGGAGGACAGGATCAGCAGGGAGGCATCGATCCGACAGACAGGCAAAGCACTTGGTATTCTCGATCACTGGCGGAGGAATTCCTGCAGGTCCCAGCAACCTGCAGTCAGTGAGCAGTTTTGTTGCTGGGACCAGGGGCTGCTGCCGCAGGGACATCCGCAGGTGGCGCAGGGGTAACCACAGGGGCAGCTGCAGGCAAAGTGCAGCCGTCCATGCTGCGGCCTAGTCGACAGACACTATTGGAGGAGGCTGACAGCATTGTCACCAAGAACGAGGCAACCACCCGTAAGCTTGATCAATGGGTGACATGCCCTAATCAGCTCTACAACATGTTGGACAACAAATTCTTCATCAAGATGATCGAGGACTGCCCATGCCACATGGAGGCCGCCAAAGAGAGACAAGGCAAGGACGAATAGACTGGACAGCCAGTATTCATGCGTGCAGGGGGACGTGAAAGGCGTGGTGAAGAAGTGACAGGTGACTGGATGCATGATCCAGCTGGATGGATGGATCGACCGTAGTTGAACGTGATGGTGTCCTCTCCAATTGGCACCGTCTTCTGGAAGTCCGTCTGCGTCGAGGGGCTGGACAAGGACGTGACGACCTACTTCAGGATCCTAGACAGTGTCATCAATGAAATTCGCCCGAAGTCGGTAGTGGCCGTTGTCATGGACAACGCCAGGGAGTGCGTGACGGCGGGGAAGATTGTGGAGGCCGTCAACCCGTGGATTTTCTGCGTCGGTTGCATGGCGCATGCGTTGGATCTGGCCTTGGAGGAAATGTGCAAGCACATCGGGTGGCTGAAGAGGGTGGTGGAAAACTGGAGCAAGTTGGGCAAATTCTTCACGAATGTCGACAAGGTTTGTGCCGTCTATCGTAATGCGGGGCCGCCAGTGCAACTGAGGCGACCAGCGGTGTCTCGCTTCGCAAGAAACTTCAAGATGTGGCAGTCGATGAAGGACGCAAAGTTCCCACTGCAGCAGTGGGTGGTGGACCTGATGTGAACTTCTTGGATGTGACAGCCATCATTTTGGACACGACCAACTTCGGGCCCTCCATGGAGAAGGCTCATGCAGTGATTGAGCCTGTGGTGGAGATGTTGTGTTTTGGTCGACGGGCCCAGTGCAACACTTCGCAAGGTGTACTTCCGCATGGACAGCCTTCTGGAGCGGATGCGCAACCTCGCCTGCCTGACGGAGGACAAGCGAGCGGAGTGGAGAGTATATTGATGGACAGGTGGGCTTTCCTCACTTCGCCTCTCCATTGCGCAGCCGCATTCCTCAACCCTGAGTACCGTTTACGGAACCACGGGCTGGAGGACAAGGAGATTTGGGACGGTGTCAACATTTGGTTGCACTTGCGGGGTCATTGTACCTTCTCCAACCCCAAACAATAAAGTTGCTTGGGCAAGTGAGCTCCTCCTCAACATGGGAGCGGAATTGGAGCTTGCAATGAGCTCATCATCGGCACGCGGCGCACTAGTGTCTTGCCATCGAGGCTCATGAAACTCATGTACAATAGTTGGAATATCCCGAGGCAGAAGACGGCGAACAGCCAATGATGCGACAGTGGTTGCGAAACGACTCAGACAGCGACATGGCCGACAAAAAGGATGTGATCATGTTCTTGATAAAAATGGCGCACAAGTGGCATGCTTGCACGAAGCCGGGAAAGCATCAAGAGGAGGAGTTGCGCCGGTCTTGTTGAGCCTGGTCCAGTGGAAATGTTCACGAACGGATGGGGACTTCTCGTGCTTAAGGCATGCCAAATGGGAGATTGGGTGGAAAGGGCGGAGGGGACTTCCGAAGGCAGCAGCCGCAAAAGAAAGAAGGACGAGCACTCCGGCCGGGGGAAGGACGTCCATCAGATGGGGAAAAAAAGAAAGGGGGCGCCCATGAAACAAAGAGGCGGCAGAGTGGAAAGTGCCAGAAGCTGCAGCAAACGCGGAGGCGGAAAAGCAAGCAAAAAAAGAAGTCAGGCAAGGCGAAGCACGGGGTGATCAAAGATGACGAAGACCCCCCGAGGAGATGAAGGGAATGTACCACTGCTACCACACCACACCATTGTTCGTTGCTGAGGTAGAATGTGTGTCGTGCGGGTGGGGGTGATGCAGGGCGTGTGATGGGGTGTTGAGTATGGTGATACTTTCCACATGCACAACCATCGTGTTGCTTGTTTAGCGCAAAGTGGGACCCCATCCATCACTCGAGAAATTTTTGCATCATCGCATTGCTTGTGTAGCACAAGAACATACGAGCCACGAATCTCATGTGTGAGCGGTCCCAAACAGCTCTGATTTCCAGTTCCTAACTCTCATTGGAGGGTGCCAATTTGCTGCCGATCTCACACTGAAACTAACCAACACAGATTGATACATCCGAAAGTCCCCCATCAGACAGGCAGATCCACAGTTTGTTTCACGATCATGCTCATTGCACCCTTGGCAGTCTTCGCGAAGTGCTGCGAAGATTGTATTCGTCCGTGCAGTCATGGGGGTCTCCATGACGCACTTCTCAGGGGGAGGTTTGATTTCCTTTGCTTCAAAGTTAAACTTGCCCAGACCAAAATACTACAGAAATAGAGTTCAACGACCCTCATGAAAATCAGTGCTCTATTTTTTTATTTTTTTTTATGGCTAATTCTTTTAAGCCCAACCAATTCAATTACCTGTCAAGTCTGGGCCGGACGGCTGTCAGGCCTTTTTATGATCATTCTAGTATTATTACCCTGTAGCAGCCACAACCATGTGCAACAACGGAACATGCGGGAGCTGCACCCACCAGCAGGTACGATACCTGATTCAGCACGTGGGCAATACCGGCCAGGGGTCAGCCGGTAACGTCAGGACTGAGCTTCTTCGATGGGGCCGTTGTTGTGCTGCTTGGGGGGCCCGCAGCCTATCTCTAGGCGTCAGGCACCAAGCTTTGCCCAGAAGACTACATTACGCCACTGGTGGGACCAGCGGCCTATCTCTAGGTGTCAGGAACACTCACACTAGCACTTTCCAAAATGCAACAAGATTTATGTTCCTTTAGAAAGTGCAGAGTAATAAGAACTTAACCAGACAGCATTCGTTCATTAACTGCTAAATAAAACTGTAACCACCACTCAATTCGCCCATCATGAAAACTCCCTCAACTTCGGTACTCAGAGATGAAACACCACTATGAAACAATTGCTTTACCACTTCACAAAACAGTCAGCTATAGAAGCACCTCATGTTTTTCTTGCACACCTAATTCTAAATGAGCTTTATATCGCCAATTGCAAGAACCTCTCTAAGACCCACAGGCCTGTTCATTCAAACCCTCTTGTGCTGAATGCTGATTGTCAGACCGACATTTGCCTGCAAAAACTAAGCCCTTGGACTCTCAGAATGTGAAGTACTGGTGCCAAGTCCATGTTGGACAATAATTACTCAGGAAGAAAACTTTATTGTGCAGTGAGATAATTGAGCAATAATTACTCAGGAGAAAACTTTATACTGCCGTGCGACAAGTTCATATCCCGAATCAGAAAGGTCATACCAGAGAGGAAAAGCCAAAGAATACAGGTCACCAAATAAATGCTGTTGACTGCGTTTTCGTTACCGTGAGACAAGTTTGTATCCTGAATCAGACAGGTCATACCAGAGAGGACAAGCCAAAGAATACAGGTCACCAAATAAATGCTATTAACTGCGTTTTCGTTAAAATTGAGTTTTCTTTCTGTTTTGTAATGTGTACTTGAGGGCATACTCACACTGGACTTTTTGTATAAAGTTCTGGATGTAACATTGCGGGTACTACGGATCCTCTGCGATCCACCTTTATTGGTGGACTTCACCGGTATTACCTAAAGGCTGTGTTGTAACGAGATGTCGTTTCGCCTCCTGTCCCCAATGTCGTTTCGCCTCCTGTCCCCAATTAATTGGGTAATCTGCCTCTTTCAATTCAAACCTAGGTGAGCATATCCACCACCCGGTAAGAGGCACCTCAGCGTATTTTGAAATCAAGCTCACTTGGTGAAAATGGTAAACACGACAGACTTAAAGGTAAAAACATGAAAAATTCTCTTCTGTTTAAATCGGAGAACTTCAGATTCATCCTGGTCAAGCCGCACAATCAGGCACACACCCAGGTCACCACCACTACCCCCAAGACTGTTTCTCCCGAGGGAGATTCATGCTGCACGCCGAGAACTGTAAGAACAGTATGCCGGAGTTTTTCCAGTTTTTTGACTGGCGCCACCAGCCAAAGAGGTTTGGGAGGCCAAGCCCCCGAAGAATGAGGATACAAGCAAATGTGCTGCAGAGTTTTGCCTGTGAAAAAGGAAGTGGTGGTTTAAAAGCCGATGAATTGGTTTTCCTATTTTCTATAATTGCTGGTGGGGGACAAGTTTCTGCCCACCGATAAACATCAATCTGAGCTATTTTCTGTTCTCCGGTGTTGTAAGTT